CTTCAACTACCGCCTACTGGCGATGGCCAGAGGGGCTGATGGTGCGATACGGCAGCCTCGCCTTGTCAGTCTGTCCCAGGGCAATCCATTATTATTTAAACCAACTGTTAACTCTATATTTCTGTACATTTACGTATTATGATTCATATCGCCACATTCATTGACCTTGTTTATAGGTAATTTCATTGTTTGATCACGTTAAAAGGTTCCTAATTTACTGTCTAAAAGCACTTGGAAAAGGCAGAATCCCATGTAAAATTAGCGCAACAAACTCTATTTTCATTGCTGAAAATAACTGTATTTTCATGAGAAAGTTATTTTCTGATATTTTACGGTAGTATTTTGGCGCCCCAGCTGCCGGAATATTACTGTTTTGTTAGGATTTGTTTTTTCCCCCTATTTATAGATAATTTCATTGTTTAGTCACATTAACATGTTCCTAATTTAATGTTTAAAATCACTTGAAAAGGCAAGATCCCATGTAAAATTAGCGCAACAAACTGTATTGTCATTACTGGGAAAAAAACGTATTTTTATGAGGAAGTTATTTTACCGTAGTATTTTGGCGCCCCAGCTGCCGGAACATTACCGGTTTTTTTTAAAGATGTTTTTTTTTTTTTTGTTAAACAGTGTAGAACAACAGACCTGGAGTTGCCCTGCTCTAAACAGATGCACGGAGAGCTGCAGGCTGCAGCGGCACTTACATTAGGAGACTCTCCAACAACTACAATAATATTCTGGGGAGCTTGGAAAGGAAGAGAAAGAAAGGCAGAGTCCAGACCCGTTTCTTTCCAGGTTCCTTAGACTATGATGACTGAGTATGGAGAACCACAAGAGCCACGCGCATCGAAATAATGGTAAATGGCCTGTATTTGTATAGCGCTTTACTAGTCCCTAAGGACCCCAAAGCACTTTACACATCCAGTCATCCACACATTCACACACTGGTGATGGCAGCTACATTGTAGCCACAGCCACCCTGGGGCGCACTGACAGAGGCGAGAGAATAATTGCTCTTGTGGTCCTCCATAACTGAGAGCCTCCACAGACATGCTACAATAACAGGACGAAACCCCCTAGCGGCGCTATACCACGTGGTTGTTAGAATTTATAAAATCAAACATACCAAGAAAACTGCAAACCAATGCACAATATGAGTCGACAGATCTTACTCACACAGGCGTTGTTGGTGGATCCCTACAGCAAGTCTTACTGTACTTGGAACATGATCCCACTGTTATCGTAAGACAGAGTGTGTTCCAGATGTTTGCTGCTGTGTGTGTTCCGCTTATAGCTCTTAGAGCACCCAGATTTCCCAGTCGCAGTAAATGCGTCTTTCCGGGTGCGCCTTCTAAAGTCATCTTCCTTAAAGCGTATTTTGCAGTTCAGACAGAGCTACAAGAACTTTCTGGGCCAGGAAATGTCAGGCAAAACTATAAAGCTTGCTTTGGTGAGCGCGCTGGAGGACTTAACAAAGGACAACTTTGACAAGTTCTGCCACCAGCTTCTGGACCGCAGGGAAGCGCCGCGCGTCAAGCGCAACAAGGTGGAGAGTAAAAGCCGCCTGGAGATCGCAGACGTGCTGGTGTCCCACTTTACCGAGGAGGGGGCTCTTCGGGTGACTGTGGCCCTGCTGAAAGCGATTGGATGTCGCAACGAGGCGGAAGAACTCGGTGAGGTCAATGTCCAAGTTTCAGTTAGTGGCCATTTCTACATCTGGATTTACACAGAAACGTCATCACAGTTAATCACAGGGTAAAAACTAACAACAGAGATCGATGGGTATAACAGAACCAGAAACAATACTGCAGACATTTTTAACCAACAATAAAGGGTCTCATTTATTTACTTTCACTTTTAAACTTCCTAAACTGATCGCTGCTGTCATTTGGGGCTTATCGGAATCACACATGTGTCACAAAAGGGGTAAAACCAAGCAGAGGTCTCTGACTTCAATATTTGATTATGAGAAAACAAAAACAAGAGTTAATACAGTGCTGTGGAAAAGAACTACTCCCCTTCTTGATTTCTATTTTTAATGTGTCAAATCATTAAAAAAAATGTATGAAAAGAGAACCAGACTAAATACAAAATGCAGTTTTAAATAATGATTTGATTTAACAAGAAAAACCTACCTGAAGCAAAACGAATTGTCCCTCATATCATATTAAATCACAAGTTAACTGTGCATTTAATTGAACTAGCCACACCAAGGCCTGATTACTGCCAGACCAATCAAGAAATCATTTAATAGCAGCTGTCTGACAAAGTCAAGTAAGCTAAAAGATTTAAAGAAACAGCTGAGAAAAAAAGGCACTGACATCTATCAGTCTGAAAGGTTCACAAAGCCATTTCTAAGGCTTTCGGGACTCCAGTGAACCACAGTGAGAAATTATCCACACATGGAGAAAACTTAGGACAGTGCCGAACCTTCCCAGGAGTGACCAGCCGACCAAAATTACTCCAAGAGTGCATCAATGACTCATCCAGGAGGTCACGGAAGAACCCAGAACATTTTCTAAAGAACTGCAGGCCTCACCTGGCTCAGTTAAGGTCAGAGGTCATGGTTCAACAAAAAAAAAAAGAGAATGAGCAAAAATGGCCTCAATAGGAGAGTCCAAGGACAAAACCACTGCCAACCAAAAAGGCAAAAAAAATTAAGGCTCGTCTCACATTTACCAAAAAAACATCTGAATGATCCCCAAGACTTGTGTGAAAAACCAGTTGTATCTGGCATGAACTTAAATAGTTCAAGTTCAATCAGACTGAGATACTTTAAACATGCGGTTCATGTTGGAAACCTTCAAATATGGCCGAATTAAAGCAATTCTACAAAGAAGAGTTGGCCAGTTATTAGATTTCTGGCCCAATAACAATTTTTTTTAATTTTCTCAATCGCCCAGCATTTACACGGGTCTGGTCTGCGTTAAAATGCAGCCCTACAGTAACAAAGTGCTAAAGTTTCTTTTTGTAGCATCACACTTGAAACCAGCTTTATGCAGTAAAAACAGAGAAAAACGCAGAGAAATGACTCTGATCTCTGAATTCTTCAACCTTTTTCTAAAGTCTGCCCGACATTCCAGTGTCAGGATGTGACTCTGGACATGTGCTAACTCGCTGCTCAACAGTCAAATTTAGTTCCATGGAAATTACATAACAATGGCAAGTCTGGCCCTGCAGCTTGATAGTGCAACGTTCCAGATTTGTTTTTGTCTTTTTGAAGGGGCAGCCAACAGGGCAGCTGTAACAGCGAAATGATAAAACATATGTAACACTGATATTTTAAAATTGCAATTGTCAGAGTTTATTTTCATTCTGGAACTAAAACTGCTCTCCTGTTACACCGCTAACATGGAGGCTAGCATGAAGGCTAACATGGAGGCTAACATGGAGGCTAGCTTGAAGGCTAACATTTTGATTAATTTATGTTTTTCAGCCACAGAAGCCGGTGGAGGAAATTAGACATCTCACCTGGACAGTGAGTTGATCTTTCTGTTAACATGTTCATATAAACAACTATAGGCTATCTATGATTTCTTATATGTTTTGCAGGTGAAAGATTTCACAGCAGCTGGAAAACTGTGTGAAAGGCTCTAGTATTCACACACAAGCTCCAACTCCAGATTTATTTCAAAACAATTGATTTTATAACTGTTGTGTCATTAAATTTTAATCCTAAAGAATTTCATAAAATAAATAAAATAATTTCAGAGAAACTAAAAAGATTTCATTGCGGTTCAACCGGTCCTCCTTTTAGTCATAGCTCAATGTTTTCAGTTTTTATTGTTGCCAAACTGGGTCATCCATCTGTTCAGAGGTAACCTATCATAAAATTCTACACTCTTATCAAGCATGCAGACTTGGAAGCTTTCCCAAACCCTGCTTTGAGCCAGTATACACTTCAAAATCCACAGTGGACTACCTCAGAGGTTTTAAGTTGAAGGTTTAACCTTGTCTCTCACTTCCCTGAGCCAAACATTGTAGAAAACCTGTTCCAAACAAAGCCACACGCAAGACGGACTGAGAATCAGAAACAGAAGAACGCAGAAGGAACAAAGCCACAAAACAAGAACTAAAAGAGACTCAACTGCTATAAAAAGGCTTTACATTGCTGTGATACTAAAGTGGTGCTTGCAAGAACTGTGGGGTCCCTAAACATCTACTTTGAACCCTTTTTATTATTTTAAAACTGTAAAAGATGGAAATAAAGTATTCTTGCTCAGAACAGTCAAGAAATGTGTTAAGTTTATGCCTTTTGAAAACCACATCGTCTTTTACTCTCCTAGCTGTTCACACTAACTGAAACATGGAGCTCAGAGGAAGCTCAAACGTTAGCACATCAGTGTTAATATGCTTTTATGCTTTTTAAAATGTAGGATATTATTGTTGTTTGATGAAACTTTGTGTTTTTAATGAAGAACATGTTCTGTAATAGTAACAGTTAAACTTACAGTTTAAGTTAAATAACCAAGGTTTATGTCATAATATACAAAAAAACAAAACAAAAGCATCGTCCTACTATCATGCCTCACTTCACCTTTAAAATGATGTTCATCCTCTGCTACTTTGTATGGACACTCAAAAGCAACTGTCATAGAAATATAAAAACAATGTGAAGGGATTTTATGCTGCTGTGGTTTTACCTGCAGAGGTGTTTTCTAGTGTCTGATTTTTGCGATTTGGCCGACAATTTGAGGTATTTGTCA